GAGTAGCTGGGATTACAGGCACGCGCCACCATGCCCAGCTAATTTTTTGTATTTTTAGTAGAGACGGGGTTTCACCGTGTTGACCAGGATGGTCTCGATCTCTTGACCTCGTGATCCACCCGCCTCGGCCTCCCAAAGTGCTGGGATTACAGGCGTGAGCCACCGCGCCCGGCTCACTACACACTTTCAAGTCAAAAAGCTTCAAACAACAGCCAACAGCAGAATACAGCTGGGAGAAGAGTATGCAAAGAAACCCCCTGTGAAATATAGCAAAGAAAGAAGACTTAAAACTCAGAATTTCAAACACTGCCACGGTAAAACACTCCTCATCCTAGACACAAGCCACCTCTACAAAAACTCAAAGCCTGTGCTGCGTAACACACAGCAAATAAGAAACTGAGGCCAACTATGAACAAGAGTAACACAAACTACATGCAGATTAAAGGCCCAGCAGAGAGGTACGCCCATTTCCGGGAATTAAAACTATTTACTGTAGCTTGTAATGTCTTATACAACATGTGTGGCTTTGAAAAATGTTTATAAAACCTACAAGAGGGTACAAAAGAAACCCCACACTTTCAAGAGACAGAGCAATCACCAAAACAAGACTCAGAATATGATGTGGGTATTAGAACTCTCTGACAGGAATTTAAAATAACTCTATGTGTTAAACACTATAACAGAAAAGGTGGACAACACACAAGTTGACATGGATAATTTCAGCAGAAAGATCAGTTAACATGAATATGGGTCAACAGAAATCTCCCAAACAGAAACAGGAAGAGAAAAGTGCGGTGGACAGAACATCCAAGACACAGTACGATATGAAATGCTTTAATATCCATGCAGCTGAAATCCCAAGAAGAGAAGAACAGAGCAGAAGAAATAATGGTTGAGAATTTTCCAAAATTAATGAGAAACACCAAACCACAGATCCAAGTTCAGAGAATATTAAAAAACAAACAAAAAACAACCAACACCTGGTCTTATCATTTCCTCACTTCTGAAAACAAAAGACAGAAAAGACTGACCAAGTGTAAGTGGGGCTCATGCCTATAATCCCAGCAATTGCTGAGGTGAGAGGATTGCTTGAGCCCAGGAGTTCGGGAGCAGCCTGGGCAACATAGCAAGACCTTGTCTCGAAAAGAAGAGGGATGGGGAAGAGAGGAAAGACTGAAAGCAGTTAAGGATAAAAGAAACATTACACTTGAAAGAACAAAGCTAAGTTGCGGCAAGTTTCTTGTGAGAAACCATGAAAACCAGAAGAGAGTAATTTCTCTAAAGTCTTGAAAGAAAAAATAGCTTTTAACTAAGACTTCTATACCCAGCAAAGGGATCTTTTAAAAATAAAGGAGAAAGAAAGACTTTCGCAAACAAAAACAGGAAATTCATTGCCAACGGACCTAATCCACGTAAAATGTTAAAAAAAGTGTTTCAGAGGCCGGGCACGGTGGCTCATGTGTGTAATCCCGGAGCTTTGGGAGGCTGAGGCAGGCAGACTGCCTGAGCTCAGGAGACCAGCCTGGGCAACACAGTGAAACCCATCTCCACTAAAATACAAAAAAATTAGTCCAGGCAGCACGCGCCTATAATCCCAGCTACTCAGGAGGCTGAGTCAGGAGAATCATGTGAACCTGGAGGTGGAGGCTGCAGTTAGCCAAGATTGTGCCACTGCACTCCATCCTGGGTAAGAGACAGAGACACAGTCTCAAAAAAAAAAAAAAAGAGAGAGAAAAGAAAGAATTTCAGCAAGAGAGACTATGTTATCAGACCAAAACCTAGATCTACAAAAGAAATGACAATCCCAAAAAATGGAATAAAATAAAATAAAAAAATAAAATAAAATAAAATAAAATAAAAGTGGGTTTTAAAAATATTTATAAAGAAAAGATGTTCATTTTTTGGTTCACAGTTCTGTAGGCTATACATGCAGGGCATCAACATCTGCTCAGCTTCTAGTGAGACCACAGGCAGAAGGCAAAAGGGGAACAAATGTATCACACGGCAAGAGAGAGAGCAAGAGAGCGAGGAGTCAGAGATAGATGGGGGAGGCCCCAGACTCTTTTTAACAACTAGATTTCAAGTAAAATAATAGAGCAAGAACTCATTCATCACCACGGGGAGGGCACCGAGTCATTCATGAAGACCCACCTCCATAATCCAACAGTTCCCAGTAGACCCCACCTCCAAAATGCAACGTGGGGGGTCACATTTCTTTATTTTTATTAAGTTTGAGGGTACATATGCAGCATGTGCAGGTTACACAGGTAAACATGTGTCACAGGAATTTGCTGTACCGATTATTTCTTCAACCAGGTAGCAAGACTAGTAGCCATTAGTTGTTATTTTTCCTGATGCTCGCCCTCCTCCCACCAGCTACTCTTTGATAGGCCACAGTACGTGTTATTCCCCTCTATGTGTCCATGTGTTCTCATCAGCTGTAAGTGAGAATATGTGGTACATGGTTTTCTGGTCTACGTATTCTAAGTGAGAATCAGCAGAAAACCAGCAATATCTGGTTTTCTGTTCCTGCATTAGTTTGCTAAAGATAATGGTGTCTAGCTCCATCCAAGTCCCTGCAAAGGACAGATTCCCATTCTTTTTTATAGCTGCGTATTATTCCACAGTGTATATGTACCATGTTTTCTTTATCTAATCTATCTATCACTGATGGGCATTTGAGTTGATTCCATGTCTTTGCTATAGTGAATAGTGCTGCAATGAACATACACGTGTATGTGTCTTTGTAACAGAACAACGTATATTCCTTTGGGTATATGACCAGTAACGGGACTGCTGGGTTGAATGGTATTTCTGACTTTAGGTCTTTGCCGAATTGCCATGCCATCTTCTGCAATGGTTGAACTAATTTACACTCCTACCAACAGTGTATAAGCATTCCTTTTTCTCTACAACCTCACCACGTTATTTTTTAACTTTTTAATAACAGCCATTCTTTCTCACTGCTGAAAATCAGTGTTCTCACTTTTTTTGAGACAGGGTCTCATTCTGTCATCTAGGCTGGAGTAGAGTGGTAAAATCACTGGTCTCTGCCGCTTTGACCTCCCAAGCTCAAGCAATCCTCCCACTCCAGCCGCCAAAGTATCTGGGATCACAGGCGAGTGCCATCATGCTGGCTAATTTATCTTTTGTAGAGAAGGGACTTTGTTATGTTGCCTAAGTTGGTCTCCAATGACTGGGCTTACATGATCCTCCTGCCTCAGTCTCCCAAAGTGCTGGGATTACAGGCATTTAAACACCATGCCCAGTCAGCATTATTTTAATTGCACTAAAAGATGACTGATTTTTCAAATGCAAAAATAGCAATGTACTACCTGTTTATTGCATATGTAAAAGCCAAATGTGTAACATCAATAGCACAAAGGATGAAGGGAGAAATTGGTAATATTCTGTACAAAGTTCTTATACTACTGTGAAGTGGTATACTTTATATACATATTTGTGCCCACTTCAGCAGCACATATACTAAAATTGGAACGATACAGAGATTAGCATGGCCCCTGCTCAAGGATGACATGCAAATTCGTGAAGCGTTCCATATTTAAAAAAAATATATATATATATATATATATGTTTAAAATATACCACTTCAAGTAGTATAAAAACTATATATATATATA